CAATGGCAAGTAGGGTTCTGACTGTGGTCAGCTTTGCTACAGGCGAAAAAGTATCGAAGAAATCAAGTCCCTCCACTTGATTATAGCCTTTTGCGACAAGTTGTGCCTTATATCTCTCAATAGACCCATCTGATTTATATTTTATCTTGTATACCCACTTGTTGCCAATAGGCTTCACTCCTTGTGGAAGATCAATGAGAATCCAAGTCCCATTTTTGTGAAGATCATCTAACTCAAGGTTCATAGCCTCTGACCAGCAAGGTGAATTTGCTGCCTCTAAAAAGGATTGTGGCTCAGTAGTGTGTGTGAGAGACATACTAAATGCCTTGTGAGAAGGAGACAAAGTGTAAGTGAATGAAATGAAGAAATGGGATATAAGCTACCTGAAGTGACAAGAGCAGTTGAGGTAGTTGATGGAAAATCACACACATAATCTGACAAATAGGAGGGAGGTTTCCTCTGCCTCACAGGGGTTGTTGGGATAGCAGAAGAGGGATTAGGGAGATCCTTGGCACAGGGTATAGGAGAGGAAACAGAGGTTGAAGGGTCATGAATTGGAGTAGGTGTAGTAAGTTCAATGGCAGTAGGATGAGGTAAGGTATGAGAGGCTTGGTTGGGTGAGTGTGGAGTATTTTGCTGAGGTGTAGGGTCTGACTCAGGATCTGAGGCACTGAATGGGTGATATTTCCATTGGTTGCTGGTATGAGGAGATTGATATGGCAGAACATGTTCATAAAATGTGGTATTTCTGGACAGGAAAATATTACTGTTTTGCAGATCATAAAGGATGGCTCCTTTTACTCCAGATTTGTAACCTAAAAACACACACTTCCTGGCTCTAGGATCTAACTTGGTTCTTCCAGAGGTCAGGGTTGAGGCATATACCAGAGATCCAAAAACTTTTAATTGTTGAAGGTCAGGATGTTGTTTGTGGAGTAAGAAATATGGAGATTTATTCTGCAGAACATGGCTAGGGACTCTATTAATGATGAATACAGCATTGGATACTGCATAACTCCAGAATTGTTTAGGTAGGTTGGATTGGAAAAGGAGGGCTCTGCCTACATTCAGGATATGTTGGTGTTTGCGTTCAACTCTCCCATTTTGTTGGGGAGTTTCAACATAACTAGTGTGTTGAATGATCCCTTTAGAGGTGTAAAAATCAGGAATGAGAAATTCTGGTCCATTATCAGTCCTTACAATCTTAACATAATGGTTATGTTGAATTTCAATTTGCTTGATGAAATTTTTAACTTGTTCTCTTGTTTCACTTTTATGTTTCAGCAAGATTATCCATGTATATCTAGTGTTATCATCCACAGCAGTTAAAAAATAACTATGATTGGAAACAGATGGAATTGAAATAGGGCCCCAAATATCAAAATGAATAAGGTCATAAGGCTGTGAAGCTTTGCTTGTACTATGAGGAAAAGGAGACTTTCTATGTCTAGCAAAATGGCAGATATCACATGCTGCTTCTTTGTCACTAATGATAAAAGGAAATTGTTCTCTCAAAGTTAATAATCTAGAATGTGAGAGATGTCCTAATCTAAAATGCCACAAGGCACTATGTGGTATATGGATAGAGTTTATGCTTGAGGTAGGCTCCTTGTTTGTCAGGGTAAGATAATATAATCCATCAAGTCTCTCAGCTGAACCAATCATCCTCAAAAATTTCTGTTCCTGAATAAGACACTTCAAACCAACAAAAGACACCAAACAGTTCAAATTTTGACACAGTTCAGAAACAGAAATCAGATTTACAGTAAAATCAGGCACATATAAGACATTTAAAATGGTGAAACCAGGTGAAAAGGTAACAGTGCCCATGATTTTTGTGACTGTATGCTGACCATTAGGCAATTTTATAATTATAGGAGTGATATCATTATAAGAATGAAACCAGTGCAGTGATGAATATATGTGGTGACTGGCCCCTGAATCAATAATCCAAGAGCCAAGAGTTGTGTTGTGACTTGAGTAATGAAAACAAGACACAGTATAGACAGAAGAAATACCTGGATGATCAGCTGGTTTAAGATCATATGAAGGAATTGAGCGAACCTGATTGGAAGCAACACTTCCAAATTGCTGATTGAGGCTAGATCCTTGAATGAGATTGATGAGTTTCTCATATTGCTCATGAGTCAGAGAAGGAGCATCACTTTTGTTGGTACGTGCAATATCAGAAACAGCAGAGGCACTCCCTTCAGTTGCTGCAGTGCCATTGGAAGCAGATCTCTGCAGATGAGGAGGCAAACCGTGTTTCTTGTAACAGGTTTTGATAGTGTGGCCAGATCTGTTACAATAGGTGCAGATGCGAGGTTTAGATTTTGTGAAGAATTTCCCGGTTTTCTGGGGAAATTTCTTGGCCTCAGAAGCATTAATGAGAACTTTGGAATCATCTGAAAGAGAAGGGGTGATTTGACGCTCATGTTGGAGAATCATGGAGAAAATTTTATTGATAGATGGCAACGGATCAAGGAGAAGGATCTGAGATTTCACAACTCCAAAGTTATCATTAAGACCAGTAATAAATCACATTGAATGTAGGAGTTGATGATTACGGCGAGCGGTGCGCATGGCTTCGCACACACATTTGACACGACAAGTACAAGTAGGAACTGGCATATAGATCTCAAGTTCTTCCCATAGGATTTTAAGTTCAGAGAAAAATCCGGTTACCGTGCGAGAGTCCTGCTTGAGGGAATAAATCTCTTGCTGCAGTTCAGAAACACGGACCAGATTGCCTTGTGAAAAATGTTCCATCAAGTCGAGCCAAACGTCAGTTGCGTTTTCCATGAAAACAATGGATTGAGCTATGGAAGAATCCACTAAGTTCATGAGCCAGGAATGGATGAGCATATTGCAACGATTCCAAGGACGATACAAATGATCAAAAGTATCTGCCGGCATCGGAATAGAGCCGTCAAGAAATTCAAACTTCATCTTAGCGCCAAGTGCACGACGCATAGATCTGGCCCAGGAGTGGTAATTAGAACCAGTCAAAACAAGGGTGATGGAAACAGAGGATGGACCATCACCAGAATGGACGTAAAAAGGATTGGTTTGATCCAAGATTGGATCGGGAGGAAGCGGGGTCTGGCGTGGAGGCATGGTGAAACGATGAAGAAGAAGAAGGAATCCTAGATCGGAAAAGCGAATGATACCATATTAAGTAACAAAAGGGAGAAAAACTGAAATATAAAAGAGATCTAAAAGTTATTCTCCATTAATTTTTTATAATTGGAAGGTACATAGGATCCTTAATATAAGGGGATAGTCACACTTCTCTTACATCATTTTCTAACTAACTAAAAGATAAAATCAGGAAAACTACAAAATAAAGGAAAAACATTAAAAGTGTGATGTAGCTATCTCACGTGATAAGAAGCACACAACAAGGGAGGATGCAGATAGTTACTATAAAACTATACTATTATGGGCCATAAAGTCCACTTAGGATAGCAGTTTTGATAAAATTTTCTTCAACTAATAATTGTCACATAAAATTAAAAAATCCTTTGGGGGTACAAATCATATAAATTATATTAATTGATAATGATTTGCACACTTCTCAAAAGAACATCAACGAATAGTTACAATTAAAGAATTTTTTTAAAAAAGATTATTATTATATTTATTTATATTTTTTTAATAAAATAGTTATGTTTAATATTCAAATATGTTACTACTGTGATATCTTCTCCTTGATTTTCGATTGATAATCATCCGAGACCAAATTTGTCGTGAAAACTGTTAGATTTTGTTTAAAAAAATAGGTTTTATTCCAAGGTTTTAAAAGTGTTTGAATTATTTCGTTGTTGTTTTTCTCTATATGTGGTTTCAAATATTCTTCAAGGAAACAACCAACTTGAAAAGAAAAAAAAAAACTGAGTTGAAATTGCATACCTATGTTTGGATTTGGTTATGATAGTTTATCAGAAACTTACAAGGTTGTAGCTGGAGAAATATGTCTGAAATAGCTAACTGATATGAACTAGTTGAGTTAATATTTCTTTTGTATATTTAGTTAAGTATTTTTTTTATATAATTTATATACTTAATTATCTCTCTTTTAAAATATTTCTTTGGCAAACATTTATCACAGTAGCTACAAAATAATTTCATAAGAATGATAATGTGCTTGATAAAATAAGTAAAATAATACTTACATGAACAACCAAAATTTGAAGTTGTTGTTCTGAAGCATGTACTGAAGCATTACAGAGTAAAGAATGTTAACATAAAAAATAATAAAAAATAATAAGGAAAATTTGGTTATGAAGCAGACTGCCATTCACAATCTAAAAAACTTTTCAAACAACTGGATAACATGAAAATTTGATTACAGTTTCTTAATTTTTAAGAACTCTTGCCTACAATAGTAATTTTCCACCTTCAGCTCTATTTATTCTATCATTCCACTAGGACAACAAAATCTACTTTTTATTCTTCCAAATCTTAATCAGACTATGCCTTGTGATGCTACGGGATGCAATTCATGCGTAGGATGTGTACTAGTTTCCTTTTCCTTTTATCTTTCGTTTCCTTTCCAAAATACCGTAGGTGATGGTTGAACGAATGTAATATTTTCCCGTCACTTTGAGACACATATGAAGAAACAAGACATAGCTTCTGTGGTGGTAATGTATTGCGACTCAAAAAAACGCTTCCTCACCGAACAGGATCGACAATTGCGACTGATTGATGGATCGAACTTGGCATAGAAGATTCCATCTCATGGCTTGACAGTTGGAGAGTCTTTTACCAGTAAACTAGTTGTTTATACATGAACAGTGTCACAGCCCTCCCAGTAGCTTCACGATCTTTAACAAAATTTCATCTCAAATTACTCTCTTTCAACTCTGGTCCTAATGTCGCATTTTATCATAATAACATACATTATAAACCAGGGATAGGAGGGATTAATAAATAACCAAGCTTCACTGTTAGCTTGTAAAATTGATAAGTTTACCATTTGAAGTATAGACAGAATTTCATTTCCTCCTATCCTGACTTCCTGTATTATCCATGTCATCACCCTCGTAAATTGTTGACAAGGTCTGATCTTCAGAAGGAGTGTGCTTCCTCGCTTTGCTTTGTAACTTGTGAAGAATCCTCCATGTCACACAATCAGGGGTCACTCCATTCTTATTCATCTCTCTTACAATTTGATAAGCTTCTCTTTTGAAACCTAGATTGCAAGCATAGTTGATCACAATATTGTAGCTATATATATTTGGAGACACCCCGGAATCTACCAATTCATACAAGAAATGGCAAGCCTCCATAAACATGCCAGAACCACATAGCCCTTTCAAAATGGCTGCATAAACAAAATTATCATGGATCCCTGAAGGCCATATAACACTCTGCCAAAAACTCTTTGCCTCTTCTATTCGATCACATTCACATAGACCTTCGACTATAAGTGTATAAGTAGTTCTATCGGGACTAATGCCATCACTTGCCATGTTATTATAAACCCCGAACGCATCATTCGATCTTTGAAGTTTGTATAGCCCTCTGATAAGAACATTATATGTTACAACGCCAGGCTTCAAACCATTTCCAGGCATCACTCTTTTGAACAGATCAAGAGCTTCATCGACTTTTTCAGCATCCAATAGACCAGAAATCAATGTAGTGAAGGTCACAACATCAGGTGCACAAAATTTACCCATCAACATGTCATCCAATACTTTTAAGGCTTCATCGACCCTCCCCATCTTGCAAAACCCATTGATAACTGTGTTGAGGGTAATCACGTCAGTCTGACACTGGCTCTCAAGCATAAACACAAGCACATTTAAAAGCTCTGTTGGATTGTTTACAAGACAAAGAGCTCTCAGGTAAATGTTGTAAATCCTAGTTTTGTCAACACCTTCCTTACACAACATGAGTTTAAGAACTTCCCTTGCTTTATCCACATCCAATGCATGACAAAGAGCTTCCACCAATACCTTATAAGTATGCTCACACAGCGAGAATCCAAATTCAGCTCCTTCCTCTAACAACTGATAACCCCTCATACAATCACCACCCTTGCTAAGACCGTGTATGATGTAATTATATGACACACCACTGGGAACAAACCCTCTCTTCCTCATGAAATAAACAATCCTAGATGCTCCATGATACCTTCCAACTTTGCAGAACGAATCAATCATCTGTCCATAAACAACCTTCTCAGACAAACTACTACCACACGGCATCTCTTCTGCAATCTCAAAAACTTCATTGAAAAACCCTTCTTTACATAAAGAATCAATCAAATTTGCAAAAGCAGCAACCTTCACGCCCAATTCAACTTCCAAATCCATCCTCTCCCACAGCTTGCACATCAATTCTCTCCCACCTTCCAACTCCCTTTCCCGAAGAAACCCACTAATCAAAATACTGTAAGTCATCGAGTTAGGCTCTAAACCACTGTCAAGCATTTCATCAAACACCTTCAATGCATCCCTTATTCCACCAACTGAACAATACCCATTAATCAAAGTGGTGTAAGAAACAACATTAGGACAATGCCCACGATTCTTCATGTCGAAAAACAATCTGTGAGCATCAAAAGGTCGATGAATTAAACAAAACTGGTCCATCAAACGGTTGTAGTTAACCAAAGAGGGAACAAAACCAGGTTTAAAATTGATCAAGGATTTAACAAGAGTCCATGTTTGGAATGGGGTTTTGGAATGGAGTAACCGAGCAAGGAGGAGATTACATGTTCGGTGATCGGGAATGGAACCGGAGGAGAGGAAGAGGGAGAAGCGTTGGTGGGCTTCGGAGAAACGGTTGGAGTCGCAGAGAGTGTGAACTATGGTGGCAATCGTGTGTTGTGAAGGGTGAAATGAAGGAGTAGTTGAGAATGGAAAAGTGTTGGGTTTGTAGGGAAGAAGGAGAAAGGTGAGAGATTTCTTGCATTGACACCAGCTTGTTGTTTGCATTCTCTGAATAACCTCGGTGTCTCTTGTATTTCCAAGGTTGAACTAATGTCAAATTTTTTAAGCAATTTGTGCTAGAAATGTGGTTTGGGTTGAAACACGAAATTGCAAGCTTGTGTAATCTTGGACTTTGTGTTAGTGCAAACTCTTTAGTTGCACTCAAATGTAAGAGAGAAAGATAATTGAGAGAGTAGGGAGAAGGAAGGTAAATTTGTGAGGATGATGTATTGAAAACATTACAAGCAAAGTGGTTATATATACATCACATGTGAAGTTACTTGCACGTGAAGCAACTAACTAACTTTCACATTTAACATCTTCTAAGTGATTCTAACTTAATCTAACTATTTAATGTTGAATTTATTTACAACATGCTCCCAATATTCCAACACAAGAGACAAAATAAATCACGTAAACTATTCAAATCTAACAACTCCTAACTTCTTCTTAAGTGACAATAATCTACCAATCTTAAATCTTCTGTTTAGAGTATCAGCAAGTTGAGATTTACTTGGACAATGCTTCACTTCTAGATTTCTATCATTCACATGTTCCTTCAAGAAATGAAATTTGACTTCTATATACTTGCTCTTGCTGTGAAGGGCTAGATTATTTGCCAAGTTGATAGTTGATATATTATCTAACTACAAGACAAGTGGTTTTCTGACTTGAACCTTTAGCTCATTCACTTATTCAATCCAAATGGCTTGACATGTTGCATAAGATCCTAAAATGTATTCCGGTTCACGTGAGGATAATGCCATAAACTGTTGTTTCTTAAAGCACCATGGGATTGGTGCATTAAAGACCGTGAAGAAGTAATTAGTTGTACTTCTTCTATCAGTTTTATCTCTACATCAATTAGAATCTGAATAACAAATGATCACTACATCATTATCATATGTGTTTATAGGAAAAATAATATCATGATTGATTGTTCAATTTAGGTATCTCAAGATTCTTCTTGCATCTTTTATATGAGATACTCTAGGATCATCCATGTGCCGGCAACTAAGAATCCTATGTCAGGCATGCAATTACATAAATATCTCATTGAACCTACTGTTTGCTTGAATAGAGTTGCATCCACCTTATTTTCATTGACATTCTTATCAAATTTTAGATTTCCTTCGATATGAGTGATTGCAGGATTAGATTCAAGCATTTTGAATCTCTTAAGAACTTCTCTAACATATTTCCTCTTATGCAATATCATTCCTTTTTCAGTCTTCAAGAATTCCATACCCTAGAAATAAGATAGATTTACTTAATATAACATCTCAAGTTCTTCATCATAAGTTGCTTGAATTTTTTATATTGTTGATGTTGTTTCTTGTTACTAACAATTCATCAACATATAGGCATATGAGTGTTATGCCATAGCCCATTAATTGCACATACAAACCATATTCATAATTGCACTTTGTGAAACCCAGTTCCACCATATAAGAATCAATTTTCTTGTTTCATTCTCTTGTTTCTTGTTTAAGGCCATAAAGAGCTTAATGCATTCTATACATCATCATTTCCTTCCCTATTTTCATAAAACTTGAAGGTTGAGTGACATAAACCTTTTCATACAATGGTCCATTCAAAAAGGCATATTTTACATCAAGGTGAAATGCTGACCATTTTTTCTTGCAAGCTAGAGCTACTACTAATCCGAGTGTTTCTAACCTTGCAACTAGAGCATAAACTTCAGAGTAGCCAATACATCCCCTTTGTAGAAATCCTCTTGCTACTAGTTTGGCTTAGTGGTTAGCAACTGAGCCATCAGGGTTGTGCTTCAACTTATACACCCAGTTGGCCTCAATTGCTTTAGTGTCAGCTGGAAACTTGATAAGTTGTCATATATCATTCCTCTCAATGACTGCCAATTCTTTAATCATTGCAGCTTTTCACGCTTCATTATTCAAGGCTTCATTATGGTTGATAGATTCAACATCGACTAAGAGTGAAAAATGAATACGATTTCCATCTTTTGTGATTTCCTTATTTGTAATCACCTCACAATCTTGTAGTCTAGCTGGAGCCATCAATGTTCTTTGAGGTCTTTGGACCAGAACAACTTCCACATTATGGACATTCTCAACTACTTCCTCTAATGGAGTTTCATATGACTCACCATCTAATTCTTCCAAGCCTGAATTCAACAATGGCTTGCTAGTTATGCTATTAGATGCCCAACACCAAGCTTCATTTTCATCAATAATGATCTTTACTGATCATAAGCTTTCCACTAATTGGATTAAACAACCTATAGGCTATAGTTTTGTGATAACCAACAAGGACCAAATTTTCACTTTTGTCATCTAGTTTCTTTCTCCTAGCATCACACACATGCTTATGAAAAATTTAACCAAACATTTTAAGATGATTTACTGATGGTTTCTTGACATTCCAAACTTCTTTTGGCCCTTTGTTCTTCAATCTTCTTGTTGGACACATATTAGACACATATGCAACAGTTGTGACTGTTTCCCCTCATAATGAGTCAGACATACCCTTCTGCTTTAACATAAACCTAACCATATCTAGAATACTTCTATTCATTCTCTCAAATATATCATTGTTTTGAGGGGTATATTGAGTTATGACCTCATGATCAATCACATGTTATGCACAAAATTCTCCAAACACATTGGATATGTATTCTCCTCCAGCATCTATTCTAATGACCTTGATCTTCTTCTAACTTTGATTTTCCACAAGTATTTTGAATCTTTTAAAGACTTCACATAATTCATCATTGTGCTTGATTACGTACACCTAAAGCTTCCTACTATGCTCATCCACAAAAGAGGAAAAGTACATATTCCCACTAATGGTGTGGTCCTCAAAGGACCACAAACATCTGAATGAACTACCTCTAGGGTGCATGCTGATCTCATAGGCCTATATGATTTGAAATCATTCCTAGATTGCTTTCCCACCAAGAAACCTTCACATAGCTTTTCAGGCATTGAAGACTTTGGCATATCAATCTCCATTTCTTGTAAAACAAGTTAATTGTGTGATATGAAATTTAAGTGGAAAAATCCCAAATGCCACAACCAACTTTGTTTATTATCAACCACAACTTACAAACATTGAACTTCTGTAAAGCTTATCAAATTCTTACAGTTCCTATTTTTTCTTACAAAGGAGGCCTCAAGACTAGCTTGTTGCTTGGATCAAAAAGTTTAAGAGCCTCACTCTTCATTCTTACTGAGAATCCTTTCTCAATAAGTTGGCTAACACTTAAAATATTACACTTAGTACTTGGTACATATATCATATCTTTAATGATTCCTGACTTGTCATTACTTCTTGTAATGACCACGTTGCATATTCTTTCTACTTGTAGTGATATGATATCATCAAGTCTAATCTTGCTTACTTTTTACTAATCAAACTTGATCAACCATGACTTGTGACCAGTCATATGATTTGAGCAACCTGTATATAAGAACCAAGTCTTTGAATTAAAACACTCATCTAAAACAGTAGCCATAAAGACCATAGTTTTAGAACCATCAAAATTATCACGTGCAATCTTTGCTTCATCAGCATCTTTAATTTTAGAAACTCCTTTATCATTGTTGTACCAAGAGTCATTGGCTATGTTGTCCCATTTATCACAATTTTAACATTGCGCGGTCCTTTTATCGAATTTTTCTTTTTGACGAGCAATCCCTTCTCTTTTAGAAGATTTAAACTTGTCACCGTTCTTCTGCTTTTGTGAGTGATACCAACAACCCTTCTTATTATTGCCTTTTGATGAATTTTCCTTTGAGCTTTCCATTTCCACCTTTCTTCTTCCAAAATTGATCTTGCAAAGCCTAAATGGATTCTTTAACACCTCTTCTTTCAACAATTCTAACTCGTGGGATTCTAATGAACCCATAAGATCTTCCAACTTCATTGTGGACAGATAACTAGATTCTTGGATAGCCACAATAACATGATCGAAATGAGAGGTTAACATTTTTATCACCTTCTCAATTATCATCTTTTCTTTCATAGTTTCACCATAACTTTTCATCAAATGCACGAGATTTTGCATCTAGGACACATAAGTTGCAACATTTGTAGTAGCTCATACTGCTTCTTCGAGGACTGCAAACTTACACTTTTAACTTTCTCACCTCCCTCATAATATTTGACAAGAATTCCATGCCTCCTTCGCGGATTTAACATGAGAAATTCGACCAAAATTTGCATCATCGATAACAAATTGAATGCAATATGACGCCTTGAAATCTTTCTTCTTCGATTCTTTAGGAAGAGCTTGTTGAGCTACATTTACGGCAGCTGTAAGTGCAAGGATACCATTGATAACTACTTCAAGAGTCTCTTGAAAACCAAATAGGCACTTCATATGCTTATCCCAGATCTCCCAATTCTTGGCATCAAGAATTGTAAGATAATTTGGAATGCCATTACCATCATTCATCATCGAAGCAGATGCAAGTCACCACCCTACAGTATACGACTTCTTCACACACGAACCAAAGGGCTTTGTATACTAGTTTGTTAGTGCAAACTCTTTAGCCGCACTTAAATATGAGATAGAAATATAATTGAGAGAGTAGAGATATAATAAAGGTATATTTGTGAGGATGATGTATTGACTTAAGTGTTTAAATACATCACAACCAAAATGCTTAAATACATCACATATGAAGTTACTTGCATGTGAAGCAACTAACTAACTTCCATATTTAATATCTTCTAACTTGTTCTAACAATTTAATGTTGGATTTACTCAAAACGCCTTGGTGTTTTATAAGAGACAATATTGCAGTGTTAGTACTCTTAGATAGTGATATATCCCAATTTTTACCCCTAAGATCCTCTACCATCTCATATTATACACAATGCACCCAAGATCACCCATTAGGGTTGGTTCTCTCCTCTCATCTCTCCTATCTTTAAGTTTGTCTTTGAGGGATCACCAAGCACCTTGATTTTTGTATCTTGTATATGAGTATTTTATGCTCACACTCTTAATTAACCTCAAA